TCTCTCTCTCTCTATTTCTGGCTAATTCCTTGGAGTGCGGAGGCCCGCTGAGCTCAGTTTCTTGCCTGGGCTTCTAAGACCCTCTCGAGAAGGTGCACCGCGCCTTCACCCACTCGAGAGGGCGCCCGGTGCCTCCGTGCAGCAGCGCGAGCCCTAAGAATAGGACTCTATTGGCCCTCCGCGTGAACCAGGGGATATCAGCCTCTTTCTCTCTCTTACTTTCTTATCGTCGACTCTGGACCACCAGGTTCCGGTCCACTGAAGGACCAACAGTAAAGAATCTGCCTGCCAATACAGGGAACATGACTTCGATTCGCAGTCAGGGAAGATTCCACATGCCTTGGAGCAAGTAAGCCCATGTGCCACAATTACTGAGCCTGCACTCTATAGCCAGTGCTCTGCAACAAGAGAAGCCACTGCAATGAGAAGCCTGTGCCCCACAACAGAGTAGCCCCTGCTCACCACAACTAGAGAGAGCCTGCATGAAGCAGTGAAGACTCAGCGCAGCCAAAACTAAAAAGAAATATTTTTAAAAATGCTTTAGAAAAAGAAGGTCTGCATCAAAAAAAAAAACCTTTAAATTAAAAAAAAAAAAGTTAAGTTTCAGAATAAGACTCCAGATCACTTTACGCAGAATTTATAAAAGGAAATGTCTGTGAACTTAGCACCCTTTAAAGGCTCACAGTCACTGTAAGATTGTAAAAATATTGAGGGTGAGGACAGGTGAGGATGTGTGAGATTTTCTTAGGAGAGCTTTTGTCAAGCTGTGAGCTCCATAGTTTGGAGGTTACTGTCTAAATACAAATCAATTCCAAAAAGTTTCAAAGCCCTCCCTGAGAGTTTGATATATGTTTCCTTCAGTTGGTCATCACCATGGAGTAGGAATGTTCATTTCCTTTGAGAAACCACACTGCCATTCACAAAGATATGTTCCATCAGAAATCAACAGACTGGTATGGTTTACAACATCTGAGTTGTTCAGTCTTGAGCTTTGCGCAGTGGCAGTATTGTAGCCAATGAGGTTTATCCGAGGCACGATAATTGCTAATTGAAAACCGAGTTGTTCAGTCTTGAATAACACAAATTATGGGTCGCCCACGTGTCAACCTAACATGAGCCACATCAAACCTCAGTTCTTTCCACGGTTTCTTTCCCTCCACCTTCTCTATGGTGACGACCAGGCCTCACGTCCTTCCAGCCCAGTGTGTAGGCTATCTCTTAAGCACTGCTTCAAATATTCTTGGCCTTACAGTCTTATCCTAATTGTTGCTATGTGCTGTGCTTAGTCGCTCAGTTGTGCCCGACTCTGCAACCACATGGACTGGGACTGTAGCCTGCCAGACTCCTCTGTCCACGGGGATTCTCCAGGAAAGAACACCAGAGTGGGTTGCCATGCCCTTCTCCAGGGGATCTTCCAACCCAGGGACTGCAACCAGCTTATCTGCTGCATCTACCAGCTCAACACAAGCTAAATTGTCAGACTTCTGACCCTACTGGCTCACACCTCTCACTTTTGCCTCAGGACTTCTTTGTCTATGCAACAGCAGACTCCTGCAGGAACTGCCACACACAGATGTATGCTCAACCCAGAAGCTCTGCAGAATTAATGCTTAGTGGGGAAACACTTGACAATAGAGGTCAAAGGCTGGCAGACATAAGCTCCCCACTTCCATTGCTCAGGACAGGGTTTCTGAGAGCATTCCATAAGGCTTCTTAGAACATCCCAAAGATTCAGCAATCATTCACCCCTTGCAATAATCAACTTGATAGCACATATATGTATAGCTTCTCCTTTCCTGTTCATTCCTGAGTAAATCACTCACATATCAACCTCGCTTGAGGCTCTGCTTTAGAATTTAAACTAAAACATCAGTGACTAGTTCTCAGCTCCTGATCTCTGAGCAGATGTTTGAGTATCATACATAATATGTATGTGTGATACATATTATCACACACATACATAAGTATACACAAACCCCAAGAAGAAACAGTAATAGACAAGCATAATGAAATCCAAATTCAAATGTAAAATAAGTATTTCTCCCCAAACAAAACCAAAGTCTTCAGAGAACTAGCTTTTAAAATATATATATTTACTCCTTTGGCTGTGCCAAGTCTTAGTTACAGCACTCGGGATCTTCAGTCTTCTTAGGAAGAAGTAGGATTTTCTTCAGTTGTGGCATGTGGAACCTTTAGTTTCAACACGTGGGAATCTAGTTCCCTGACCAGGAATGGAACCCAGGCTCCAAGCATTAGGAGTACGGAGTCTTAGCCACTGGGCCACCAGGGAAGTCCCACAGCTACCTCTTCTAAAGCAATGCCCCTATTTTCATTGCTAAACATACGTGTTTTATTAAAACACGTATATTTAGCCGACTTCAGGGGTTTCTCTAAGAGTCATGGGTGAGAATTTGTTTTGTATTTGCATAACTCAAATCCCTAGAGTTGGTTTTCCCAGTCTGCCCAAATACAAATTTCAAGCCTTCACCTGTCCGGTGACTGAAACTGTTCACCGCTTTTAAATGTTTATTTATTTTGTTAGTCTCTTTTTAAATGGCTAATTTCTTTTTCTTCCTTTCAACGTTTCAGGAAATCTTGGGGCGTCCAATCTCAACCAGGTCACCCTTAGGCAAGTTACATTTTAGATGGTTCAGTCTGAACTTCCAAATTACTTTTGTGTGGTGAGGCTGCTTTAAGATTTACAGGATTCACGGTCAGCTGCAAAGAATACTGGGGAACACAATCTTAATTCAGGGTGGTTTTGTGTCTAGAGAAAAAAATTAGGGGCCCCAATATGATGTAAGAAGAGAAGAATGTCGAACTAGCAGTTTCCGCCACTCCTATCCACAGCGGCCCCTCTGCAATCCTAGGCCGAATCTGAAAAGCTTAGTACTAAAAAAGAATGTCAGCCCCACCCAATAACAAACCCTCTGGGGGGTAGGGACACAAATACAGTCCTCGCTTTTTAATCAGGGTTCAAGGAGAGGCGGTCGCCGAAACAGTCTCCCAGAGAATTTCTGATACGCTTTCACAAAGTACTAGTCCAAGGAAAGATCCTGTCTGTAGTCTCAGAACCCCTCCCACCTCAGGTTCCCATCCGAAACAGGCATTTCCGGAACTGGCGCGTGGAGGCGGGGGGCTGCCCCGGAAGTGTTTGTCTGTTGTCCTACGTAGGAAAGATGGCGGCGGCGCAAGTTGCGGGTTCCCTGCCAGGCGGGCCGCCGCCAGAGACGCCGGGGGAGCTATCCTTCGAGCCGGGGCGTGGGTTTCGCTGTTTGTCGGCCAGGCTCTGCGCCCTTCGCCCGGATGATAGCAGTTCCGGCCGCACGGAGATCCACCTGCTCTTCGACCAGCTCATCTCCGAGACCTACAGCGAGGGCAGCGGCGTGGCCCCGGAGGTAGGCCCGCTGGCCTGGGCCCCGCCCTTCAGGGACCTCTGCCTGTGGCCTCTTCCCACCCTTGCTTCATGGTGCTTAGTCTCAGACTTGTTTGCCCCCTCCGACCGTGGTACAGTCTCTAGCCTCCTCTTTTTGGAAGACACTGCGGTGTCTGGTAAAGTCGCTTCTTTAAAATTCCAGCTTGCTGACTTGTGCTCTGATAACATCGCAGGTGTCATCTCTGGTGCCGCTTTCCCGTCCCTCCGCTCCCCGCATCCGGAATTCTGTGTGTATAAAATTCCCTACTAGAACGTTCTTCACTTCACCGTGCACAGTTCCAGGGATTTGGGGACATGGTGTTACTAGGTCAATTTTATTGATAAACATACGGACGCTTACAAGGGTCCACTCTAATATTGCTGGCAAAAGGCAGAACTAGAATGAGAACTAAGTCTCAGAGTTTTGGCTATTATCTGTTCCTCCATACTAGTTCCACCCTCTTCCGCCTGTTTAGAAGTACTTTTCCTATATATCATTCACACTCATCAGGCCTTGGATACTAATAACTAAATTTTTTAAACCCTGTCATAAGCTGTCTTCTGGTGCTCACAGGCATCTCAAACTTGACAGTTCTCAAAAATTAGTTCATTGTCTCCATACACCCGCTCCATCCCCAATCTGTCACATGCCCCAACGCATACAAACATACAGAGTGTGCCCAGTCACATAGGGCACAGGTGCAGACACTAGTGTTTCACCTTTCCTTCCTTCCAGATCCTTCCAGTCTGGATTCTTCAGAATCTGTGTAGGAAATGTTTCTCAGTTCCATCCCCTCCTCTGTATTTGCATTGCCAATGCCTTTGGCAAGATGACTTTCCTGGACTGTTCACCAGTCTCCTCTGACTTATGGTCTGTAGCCCGTCTGCAAACCAGTATTTGCTCTCCTGCGAGAGTGGTCTTTTCTTTAGTGGGAAAAGAATCTCATTAGAAAAGTAAAACTCTGACCTGGGAAGATCTTCAGTGCATATTGGTGACTGGCCAAAGCAAAGTTACAGTATGAGACCAATATAGGGTGGGGAGGGCTTGAAAATAAATATACATTTATAGATGCAAAGAGTTCAAAACGAGAGTTTACAATGCAGTAATAACAATGCAGTTTGTGTCACCAGGGAGGAGAGTGGAATTAAGGGAGGAGTCGGAGACTTTTGCTTTATTTGTATCCTTTGTGCCTTTCCAGTCTTCTGCCACTCTTGTTTTTGTGCCCTGTATGCAGTCATTTGAAACTTGCCGTCCCTCAGACAGGTACTGGTGTTTCACACCTACAGGTGTTCCAGACCTGCCCACTGCATTCCATTTGCTTGCATTGTCTTTTCGGCCTTGTCTGGCAGTTGTACTCATCCTTCAGATCATTCTAGGTTCTGTTTAAAAATTGTCTCTACAGGACTTCCCTAATTACTGTTTCCCCATAGAATTTGCAGTTAATTCTTTCAGCACCCAATTCACTTTACTTTTTTGTGAGCAGTATTTCTGTCTCCCTCACTAGATTGTGAGCTCTTTGTGGTTCAGGAATATGTTCATGTTTGGAGCCCAAAGACCTGGCACACTTCCTGGCACAAAGCAGGTGCTCAGAGCCTTTTAGTTCAATAAACATCAAGAGATGAATGAATGGTGTGATTTCCAGATAGTTTCCTTTTTTTAAAAAGAAAAATAGATTTTTTTTTTTAATTTTCCACAGTTTGTTGTGAAATAGATTTTCTAACTGCATTAAATTCATGGAAGTGTCATTTCTGATTTTCCCGGTGGCATTGCAAATTCAGTTTGCTTACCTTTGCTATTTTTAATTTTGGTGTGTGCTATTATATACGGAATCCTTTCTTAGGTTATTTATTTGTATTGTCTCTACATATGTAGAGACTCTGTGGAGTCCTTGACCGTATAAAAATCATTGATTCTTTTCCTTTTTTTTTTAGCACATGCTGTTTTTATGGTGTCATCCTACTCTCTGCCTCAAATTTCATCTTAACTCATTTTGAGTGTGAATGTCACTTTTAGTTTCTCATTTGGCTGTTGGGGCGCCGGTCTTCCCTTGACTAATAGGTGTAGCACCTTTTCATTGTCTTTTTTTTGTTTTTGTAGGATGTCAGTACTCTTCTTGTCCAGGCGTGTCGACTCGTGCCTCTTAATCAGAATCATCTTGTCAGCAAACTGTCTCAGCTTATCCACCATTTGCTTAACACATTACAGGTAATCATGTAGATAACTTTAGAATTCAGATCATGAATTTTGAGAATACGTAACTGTCTTTGAGTTACTACATCTGTGGTAGGAATGATAGGCTGGTCTTTTCAAAAGCTGTGCAAATATGAGAAACAATTGCCTTACTAAGAATTATATCAAAACAAATATAACTGACAAAAAAAAAAAAATCTGCCAATTTGCCCATCAGAAGGATTCCTGTAGGTCTGTTTCAGTAAACCAATATAATTCAAGCCCTCAGACCTTAGAATTTTTCAGGAAAGATGTATTAATATTTGACCAAAGGTATATCTGAGAATAAATCGAAATATCCCCAACCTCTTTCCTATCAATATTTTTTTCCCTCTCCCAAAGCTACCATTTTTGTCATCTAACCTAAGAAGTTGCTTAGCGGGGGTGGGGCCCTAGATAAAAAGATCCCTGGTATCTTTTTTAGGAATAATTCAAAAATTTAAGCTGTTACTGTAAACTACTACATGAATATTTGAATGTAGTTAGCACAAAACTTATCAACTAACATTATGTAATCTGAGGTGCTTCTGGTTGCAAGAAACAGAAATGCCAACCCAGAATAGCTAAATTTTTTTTTTTTTAATTATCTCACATCACACGCCCCAAGGAATGCAGCTTTAAGGGCACTTAATAATTAAGAAGCTTTCTGGCATCTTTCCATTCTTCTATGCTAAGTGGATGGGTTGTCCTGAGCTAACATCTCTCACACACATAAGATGCCTAAAATCCAGGAATCCCATGGATAATAAGTAAATAACACCCAGCAGAAGCAAAAGAACTATTTATTTTCTGTCTCTTTTATTTAAGAATTAAGAAGCTTATCCCCCAGACTCTCTAGCAGATTTTCCCTGATACCAGGCTGGAGAGACCTAGGTCGTATTAGGACCCCTCTGTAGCAGTCTAATCAGGGAATGGAATTACCATGAATGGCATAAACCCGGGATTTCAACCCTGACTGCTCATTAGAATCACCTGGAGGACTTCTGCTCCCTAAATGACTTAACAGCATGCAGCTCAATCCTTCGATCAGGGTTTCTCATCTTCAGCACTGTTGATATTTTGGATTGGATGAATCTGTGTTATGAGGGATTGTCCTGTGCATTGGAAGATGTTTAGTGGCATCCTGGCCTCTACTCACCAGATGCCGGTAGCATCCCTCCAGCTGTGCCAGTCAAGTGTCTACAGACATTGCCGGGTGTTCCCTGGGGGACAGAATCGCCACTGATGGAAAACCACTGTCTTAGCAGAATTGGGATCTACCTCCAGGTCTCCTGTGGGAAAGGTGGACATCCAAATAAGATCAGTTCTCTGCCAGCAAGGAAAGAGGAGATGAGTGCTGCAGGTGGCCAACTGTGTCTGCTACACATGACTTTCTATTCTTTTTTTTTTACACATGACTTTCTAGATGAAATAAGATGGTTTTAGACTTTAGAATTTTTCAGACTAATGTGGTGGCGTCTGAACTTTGGCTATCCTTAGCTATGTGTGCTAAAAGCCGCTTCAGTCGTGTCCGACTCTGTGGACTGTGACCCTATGGATTGTAGCCTGCCAGGCTCCTCTGTCCTTGGGATTCTCCAGACAAGAATTCTGGAGTGGCTTGCCATTTCCTTCTCCAGGGGATCCTTCCAACCCAGGGACCGAACCTGTGTCCCTGGTATCTCCTGCATTGGCAGTTGGTTTCTTTACCACTAGGACCACCTGGGAAGCCCACATTCTTAGCTATATTATCTTTTTAACACTGACAGTTAGAAAAGTTCCTGGTCACGCATGGCACCCACAGCCCTGAACAAGTTTCTGGCATTTGAAGACAGTTTATTTCAGTTGTCCATGAATTGATACTTGGATTAGTGTACTTTACCCAATAAAATCATAAACTCCTTAAGGACAGGAATATGCCATTTCTTCCTGTTAATATTTCCCACGTCATAGCAGAGACATAATAGCTATTTACGAGGCATATTTAGTCACAGTGTGTTTGTCAAGCATTTACTAGGTATAAAGAAACATAGTTGAAACCAGTACAACATTGTAAAAATTAAAAACAAAAAATAAAATTTTTAAAAATTTCTTTTCAGTGGATCAAGACTTAACATCTGTGTATTTACAACTGCCAGTGTCTGGTTAGTTCAAGGAAAAGTTACAAGGACTTTGCCAAGTTCTACTTGGAGTGGAAGGAGTAAAGGGGAATAAGGGAGCAGGCACTGGGGCAGGGAGAAGGTTCTCTCGATCAGACTTTCAAGGTCTTTAAAGCTGATCTTTCTGACAAAAAATAAGGACACATGCGTGCTCTGTCTCTCTTACACAGCTTGATTCAGGTGAGCATTCATGTCTGAAAAGGAATATTTTTTAGAAGTTAGATCATATGTATTTTTTCTCTTGATAGGTGATTGTTGACGAGCAGAACTTGGATTTTCTGTTGGCATATACTATTTCTGCTATTCAGCAGTGCAGTTCCTGGACACATATGCAGATTCTCCAAGCTCTGGCAGCCCTGGTGTACGGCAATGGCTCAAAGTGTCAGAAGGTGAACTGTGTTCTGTCTTTCCTTTGAAAGGTTGGGGGCACAGACTCTAAACCCACAGGCATGTATTCAGATTTCTCTCCGGCCATCACTTAAATGTGTAACCTTGAGTAACCCTTACTCAGTCACTCTGAGCCTTGTTTCTCCATGTGTAAAATAGTTCCTCTGAGGATAAAGTCTCACTTGTAAAGTGCTTGGGACTTGGTACATATCAATCGTTATTATCATTACCTTTCATCTATTCAGCCAAGCCAAGACGAGAGAGCTTCAGCAGCAGCCTTGGCTGAGAGTACTAATCCTTACTGGTGTTTTTTGGCATATTTTTGTATGCCTGTCTGAAGAATTTACCTAGCAACTAGTCTTTTGGTACTTAAATTTCCTTTAGTTGAAAAAAAAATGAAATATGTTTAAAAAATAATATTTTCCTAGCAGCTTTTCTTTGGCCAACATTTGCTGTGATTTTGTTTCAGTACCTTCCAGACTTGCTTGGCAAGAGTGGACTCTTGATGAAGTTGAGCGACTTGGCTCAGTCAGACCCTGAAGTTAGGAGAGCTGCAGTGCATTGTATGGCAAACTTATGTCTCAGGTATGTGGATTCAATCAGATTTCCCAAACTGTGATAAGATAGGGCCTCTCATGGGCCCTTTGTAGGTGATTCAATCTGTCTGAAGCCAGAGCCAACTTAGCAAAATAATCTACATTGCATTTCTCATGCTCTTTGCTAATAAGATCATCTTAAGTTGTTTATTTTTGGTTTTAACATTGCTTGTAAAGAAAGCTCATAAAGAAAGGAAAAAATAGACTAGGGCCTTATTTCTAAAATATGGTGAAAGTGGTAATACATGCAGTATGTCAAGGGTTTGTTTTTCTGTTGGCATAAATTGTAACATATTAAATCTTTTAGAAGGATATATTCATACAAATTTAAGCTTTGGTGAGATATATCTGCCACGGCCAATTTATTCAAAGAAAATAGAACCGATACCAGCTTCCCAGTTCTGGATTCATGCAATAGAAAGTGAGCGACCCAAGCTTGAACTGATGTGTAATATCTTGTCCCCACATTGCCGTATTGTCCAGTGGCTCAGGAGGCAGGTCCAGCAGTGTGAGTCTAGCTGGACATCTGCATTATTTCCCTCTAAGTTCCCTCTAAGAACTGAAAAGCAGAATAAAAAAGATTTCTCTTTCTACATACTTGTTTCACTACAAACTTCTATAACTTTTCCCTGTGGAAACCATTCTTCTTCCTGTTCATTCCAGCCTTGTGCCTGTCCACAGCAGTAGTCCAAAGTGCATAATCTTCTGTAATACAGTTTGACTCAGGGTATATCCCAGTTCCATTAGTGTTACTGTTACTCTTTTGCAAGCCCTGTTTCAGAGGCAGCTGCCTTTTGAGTTGCTTCCTCTGTATGTTCTAGTGTGCCCGGACAGCCATACTTGGAGGAGCCCTACCAAAATATCTGCTTCCAAGTTTTCTTGACCACTTTACAGTCTCCAAAATCGTCTGACATGGATGACATCACGTTCTGCATGGTGGGTGAGACTACCTCTAATCCTGTGACGGTTACTGATGTGTCTAGAAGCAGCAGTAGATGAAAGCTGCTATTAAGAGTTTTAATTTGGTTGCTATATTGGTTTTGTCTAGAGATAAATGCATAAGGGGAATGTTTATAACCTAAAAAGACTGAAATCATCTTTCAGATTTAAATCATAAGAAATTGTTTTTTTTGTTTTGTTTTGCCATTGTTTTTTGTTTTGCAATTCTAAGTTCTTAAAACTACTTTTCCGCTCCTGACTTTAAAAGCTGTACAGTTTCAGACTAGTAACTGTCTTTTAGATAGAAGGGAAAGGGGTGGACTTCAACAAAATCTGCAATATTTTATTTCTTTTTTAAAAAGTCTGATGCAAAGATGATATTTTATTAACGTGATTTAAATTCAGTAACACTTCAAAAATTATAGATCAAAGATGGTGAAAATTTTCTTACATAAAGTCTGCTTAGATATAACTACTGGGAGCAATTTGTTCTCCATGCCCCCAGGTTTGGTTTTGTTTTTGTCTTTTTTTTTTCTATATTTCTAAAAAATGAGCATATTTTAAATTTTTAAATGGGATCATATTTAGTGTGCTGTTTTGCAGCTCTCCTTTTTAAAGTTACTCTTGAACATCTTTTTGGTACCTGTTGATGTATCTCATGCTTTGCAACTGCTATGGCTGGGAGACCTTGGCAAGATCTTGAGCCTGTGTGTTCTTCATCTCTGGAATGGGACAAAGGTTATAGCTACCTTGCAGAGGTCTTATGAGGTCTATATGACCTAAAAGCATTTAAAATGCTTGGGAATGTGCTTGCTGTTATTGTTAAGTTTCATATGTAGCAGAGGGTTAGCTTCTTAAGTAATAATTGTCATAACTGATGGGAAAGAAAGTTTTTTTCAGCATTTCTACAACTTTAAACAAGGGTACAGTTCATATCCTCTCCCTGTAGAGAGTTTTTCTTAAGTACAGAATCCTATAAATGAGATTACTGGCCAAAAAGTTAATCCTGATCAGAATTGCCCTCTAGAATCCTGTTCCCACATGCATTCCTTTGCTTTTAAAAGCTGCTGTTAAAAAAAAGAAGATAAAAGAGCTCCCGTGGTTACCACATGATAAAAGAAAATTCCTGTTTCTGGTCTCTGCCGCCACATTTTTATTCCTATCATATTCTTCCCACTAAACATCTTTCTTTTTTCCTTGCTCACCGTTAGTATATGCTGGGTTAGGAGCATGTACAAAAAGACTACTCATACTCAATAAAAGCACTCTGCTCCTTTTCCATCCTACAAAGTGCTAGAAAGTTGATCCCTGGACAACCAAATTTCATTTACCTTTTAACTTTTTCTCCTTTACCCCCCTAGTTGTTACAAAACGCCTTAAAAGGTATACAGTCTCTCCTAAATGGTGGGAAGATGAAACTGACCCAGACTGATGAGCTGGGAGCTCTTCTAGCTGTGCTGAAGGTAAGGCGTTGCCTCTTTAAACCCGAGGTCCTCACTGCGGTTAGTGTCTCTCCTGTTTACACCTCAGGTGTAAGGACCACTTTACATCATCACTCCAGAGCTAGCTTAGAATATCATATTTTAAGAAAGAAAAATAAAATGTTTGTATTCAAACATATTTAAAATTAAGAACTGAAAAGAATAAATCTTGCTTTAGTAGGTTTATCAAAATTCTAAAATTTTATCAGGAATAGTTATGAGGTATGATCTGTAGATTATTTTAGATTATCTTGAATCTGTTTGGACTTGGAAGAAGAACCAGATATTCTCCTTGCCTTTAGCTCCCATGTAGTAGGCAGGCCAGTCAAGATGTGTTTCATTAGGGGGACTTCCCGGCAGTAGAGCAGTTAGGATTCCAGTGCAAGGGGGCCCAAATTCCCTTCCTGACTGGGAAACTAGGACCCTGCATGCCGTGAGGTGCTGCCAGAAAGAAAAAGACGTGTGTCATTAGGCTGTCTGCCTTTGGCTTCTGAGCCTGCCGGTCAGTGGTTAGGTCAGGTCAGCGTCTCTGAGGATCCAGCTGTCTTCATTTCATCTGGGAAATAGTAAGAACTTTGTGGTGGTCTTAGATCAAAGCCACGTATGGTAACTTAGCTTTATCATGACTGAAATTTTGATTTTTTTCCTGTGCCATCTCCCTGGCTTCCAAATACATAGAGAGCTAGATTTGGATATGGATATGAGAGATGGGGTTAAACAATTACAGATAAAATAATTAGGTAAAACTGATTGGATATGTTTTTTAAATTAATAAATAAAAGTGATAATAAATAAATGAAAATGTAAAGTTAAACCTAGCCAAACCAAGATCCCTCTGGACTAGATGAGATTAAACTCCTCTTTAAGCTCTGAACCTTCAGGTTATCTATTTTCTGTCTCATTTTAGTTTCCTTTGTAAAGCTTTTAAACATCAATCTGTTCATCTGTGTGATTCAGAATATGGTGAATAACCTTGTTTTATGATTCATTTTGTGTGTGTGTCTCCTTAATCTTTATTAGAAATCCATGTTCCATGGACTCCCTGGACTAAACATAGAGATGCCCACTGTGTTGTACCCCACTCCGCTTCCTCAGTACGATGGACGACCGCCCAACCAGCCTCAGCAGTCAGAGTCCAGCACTTCTTGCCCGGCTGTGGTACACTTACGTCTATTTAGATTTAAGCTATGGATTGTTTTTAATTGCTTGCTCTATGTGTTTTCTATGATTTGCATCACTGCTGTGCCAAGGCTCACCTTGAATTTTATTTCAGCTTAGGATGTTTAGCATAGTAAGTTTAAATTCATCCAATGGCTAAAAATACCAGTTAGAGCATCTTAATGCTTCTGAGTGGTTTAGGCAGTGTAACAGCTATAAAAACGGGCACTCACTTTATACCCGTGGCCAGTCATCCTGATCCCTCAAGTTCTGAGGACCGCAGCTCAGCAGGCATTCTCTCTGAAAGGCTGGCTGGAAACCATTATAGGCCTGTGTTGCCACTGTCAGACTTCTCGGTCTTTCCAGACAGCTGCCACTTCCCTCACGTTTCTGTTGGAGAACCGTACAGATACACGGCCTAGGTGTTGCACCTAAAAGTGTAATACCAGAGAAATGCTTGTAATTAGAAATTCTTTCACTCATTCACTTACTCAACATTTACTGTTACATCTAAGCATTAGGAACATTGACTCTGGTTTTAGGAATTTGAGGGAGAAGGTGAAGGTGGGTAAGTAAATAACCATATTGCAGTCTTATGATTTCTTTCATCAGAATATCCCCAGGGTATTCCAGGGGCACATTCAGGGCAACCAATAGACGAGTAAGGAGTGCTTTTTTAAAAAACAGAGTGGCTCTCCTGAGCCTCAGGAATGAGTACAGAGAAGGAAGGAGAGTGTTTTTTCCCCGAGAGAGCAATGGGTAACAACCATGGGGAATGTGAATGCATGCAGCCTATTTATTAACCAGTGGGCTAGAGTGTCAGGTATGCGGAGGGGAAGGTGGGGCAGGTATGTAGCAGAGGCCAAATCATAAGGCTCTTTCAACCGTGTGCTAAGGAGGTCGGGTTTTTATCTTATAGGTGGTGGAAATGAAGAATCTTATATAGGGGAGTGATACGATCAGACTTACATTTCAGAAAAATCTTTGTGGTAGCGAGCAAAAGGGTAAGAAGTCTGGAGCCACAGTAATAATCCAAGGTAGAAGTGATGAGGTTAGGGACCTTGAGCATGCAGAGGAGGGCACAGATCCCAAAGACCTTTAGATGTCTGAAAGAAGGAAGTAGAAGAAAGGAAGAAATTGGTGTTTACATTGTATTTACAAAGCCCCAGTGCCCTAAAACATGGACTGTATGTAATGGAGTCATGTTTCTCCTAGGCATCTAGCGTGATACTAGCTGTGTATCCTGTTGGGAGAACTGAGAAGACAGTCACCCACGTTATTTTGTGTAGACCTCAGTCTCTTGCAGAACCTCTGTTGAGAAGCCTGAATGCTTTCACAGCCATGCAAGGAAGGTGGTGTTAGCCTATACTTAAAACAGATGAGGACGGGCAAGCTCAGCGAGGCTAAGTGATTTGCGCAGGGTCACAGAGAGAATTTAAACCCAGGTGACACGTTTTGCTCTGTCCCATGCATTTCATACCTTGTTTCTTATAGTCCAGTAAGGTCCAGGTATGTCAGCACTTAGCGTAGTGCCTGACGCAGAGACTGTTGAGTAAGTGCCGCTTTTTTCTCTTCTCCTCTTCTTTATCCATACTACATGTTGGGGACATACTTAGTAATTATCAAATGAGAAGTTACCAATAGCTATCATGTATATGTTTTCATTTGCTCCTAAAATCAGAATAAAAAGAAAAAATCAAAAGTAAAAGCGAAGAAAATCCAGCAAGGAGAGGAGGAGGAGGAGGAGTCCAGTGGTGAAAGAGAAGTAGCCCCAGCCACTGGCCCAGGAAGACTGAACCTGCGCAGAGGGGACGCTCAGGGCCCCTGTTCCCCAGGCGCTCAGAGTCTGCCCTTAGCTGGAAGTGGAGCTGCAGGAAAAGACCGGGTCTCTTCACCCCTCAGCTCTTCCGGTTGGAGGAGGGTCAGCAGTAGTGAGTCAGACTATTCTGATGCTGAAGGAGGCATGCAGAGTAAAGTGAGGTAGTAGTATTTTGTTATATTTTTATGCTTTATATTCTGAGTTGAGTGTATAAGCTCATAACCTTACTTTAAAGTCTGTCGCATGTGCTGTTGCTTGAAGATTCTCATCTGTGTGCGATTTTGCGTTACTCTGCAGTTTGCATTGTTCTCTCCTCCGGCTTTGTACATAGGGTTCCTCTGCCTGAGTTTATTTTTTCTCTTACTTGTTTTGCCTCTTGCCTTACTAACCACTACTCATCTTCTATGTGAGCTCAAAGTCACGCTCTGAAAAGCCTTTTCTGACTCCCTATTCCAGTCACTCCCTTCTATGACTGTCTCTGATTACTGTGCTGCAGTCTCTTTAACTGTCTTTCTTTGCTATAATAAGCTTGTCAAGGGCAGGAGCTTTGTTTCTGTCTGCCAGCCTCAGCACAGTGCCTGGCACGTGCTTAGGTATTTATTCTCAGTGCTTGTCTGTTGGATGAGTGGGTACTCTGCAGTATCTCGTATTGTATACTAATTCCTAATATCAAAATGTTGCCCTCTTACTTGCTAGCTAGTAGTTTTTTTTAAATTATCGACCTTATTAACTTGTTGTGTAAACGAATTGCTTTAACATGTTTTGACCACATTTTGAAATAATTTAAAAAATATGTTGGCATCAGACTGTGCAATGCTGAATTTCTCACTGTGTCATTTGAGTTGCCTTTAAAAAATAGCATTTCATGCTCATGTTTTTAAAAGCAATTAAAAGACTTTTTTCTTCCTTCTTTTGATTGTTAAAGGTCTTACCAAGCCAAAGTTCGCCAAGGAGCATTAGCGTGTTTTCTTTCTACTATAAAATCAGTAGAAAAAAAAGTTCTGTACGGCTACTGGTCAGCCTTTGTTCCTGACACACCAGAGCTTGGAGGCCCCCAGTCTGTGTCCCTGATGACCCTCACGTTAAAAGATCCTTCTCCAAAGGTAAGAGCGTTCACATTCTGAGTGTTACAGCCAGGAAGGCTTCACAAGGCTTTGTTCCCTCTGCCCCATCTGATCCTATCACAGAACAAGGCTCTTGCTAACACTGACCCAAGTCCTGACTTGAGAACCGCTCGATGGGCAGGGGGGTAGGAGGGTAGGGCTTACGTGACCGTCGGGTCGAGGGAGACCATGCTGAGGTCTCCTGCCCCAGGGCCGGCTTGAAGCATGAGGCGCTGAGTTACTGCTTCAGTGTTGTCTCTGAGCTGCACTGAAGCAGCTATGCTTCCGTTTCTTTTATGAAAGTGCTGCCACGGTGTTTACAATAGAAAAAAAATTCAAAATGGCTTATATACTCACTGGAATATCATGATATATAGTGGTTATGAAAGATATGTAAGGCTGGGGAATGTGGATGATGTCTTATGAAAGTATTGGATAGAAAATTTTATGATCCCAACGTGGTTTTTTTTCTTCCAACTTTTCCATATTTTTCAAATCATATGTAATAAATAGTAATACATAGTTTAATAAGAAAAACTTGTTTTTAAAAAAGAAGAAAATTTAATTTGGCAGTCGTGGATAACTACAGCAAGGTAGCTATGGCTGATCAGATACTTGCCTCTTCTTGGATATGTTAACTCTTCTCTGGAAGTTAGCTTTTTAACCAAATAAGGAAAGTTGCCTGCTATTTAGATTCCCCTTATGATAATGAACATTAAAAAGTCATGCTGAATGGTATCTCATGTCCTCAGATTGGTTAAACCTACGTTTTCAAAGTAAATAGTTTTAATGAGGTCAGTAGTAGTATTTCTTTTCTGTTTTTAGAATTTTTCCCTTAAAAGCAAGGAGGAGGGCTAGCAATTCATAATACATTGGAACTCCCTGTGATCATCTCCTTGATTAGCTAATTACTATATAAGAAAACTTCTAAACAACTCTTTGACATTTTTTATAGGGTGAAGAAAAATAAACTAGCCTCAGTTATGAACACAAAAAAATGTTTTGTAGGGTAATTTCAAATGCTCTATATACTAAATAGTTAAACTGGTAAAAATGTTTCTGACTGACTGAGTCATTAACAAATGAGAATCTGGGAGGAAAATGGAAAATGATGGTGGCAAATAAATAACTAATGAGGCATTCTAGTAATTGGAAGGAAAACTGCTTTAAAAATTGAAAAAATGTATATGTATTTATATTTTTGAAGACCCTCCAGCTGGAGGGAACTGCAGTAAATAGCTGAGAATATGGAGAAGAAAGTAGGTTGACATAATTTTCATGATATTTATATCTTTATTATTTTTGAAATGTTTAATGATAGTAAGAAGTGTTTTATCAGTGAGAGAGGCTTTTTGGAAAGACTGCTAGAAAGTTATGTGTGAAAATTAAAAGTACTAGTTCATGTCATTGGAATGGAACAGCATTCTGGATTGATCAGAGCTAGGTTTAAAGGTGCAGCCATGTGTAAAAGCTGAGTGGTCATCTTCTCGGGTGCTTGTTGAGTATAGAGTTGGAGAGCATAGACTGAAGCTTCTCTTAGCCAGGATGAAACATGACAGGAGAGTTAGCATCATATCTTCTCCTGAAGTCCACACTGATGATGGTTTGGAGTTCATGGCAGCTCTAATCTAAACCTGTGGTAGATGCAGTTGGAAGCACAGTTGTCACTGACATACTGAGAAATTTTTTATGTGTAATTTTATTTATTTACTTTGGCTGTACTGGGGCTTCTTCGCTTTGTGGACTTTTCTCTAGTTGCAGTGAGTGGGGGCTGTTCTCTCGCTGGGGTGCACAGGTGGCATCTCTCGTTGCAGAGCATGGGCTCTAGGGTGCAGGCTCGACAATGTGGTGCACGGGCCTGTGGGATCATGTGGGACCAGGATGTGGACCGAACTGCCTCCTGCAGTGGCGGGTGGCTTCTGTACCACTGAGCCGCCAGGGAAGCCCCTCACTGACATTCTTTTGTTTTCACCGGTGATAGGAATGCTTTTTCCCAGTTAGGAAGCGAAGTTAATTGAGCTGAAAACTTTTTATTTTGAATATTCGTTTCTTTTTACAGCTTGGCTTTTAATTTTGTTTTGTTGGCGAGCTCTTGAAATTGTAGATTTTAATTACATTTTAAAGAAATGGCAGTTTCTTTAGCACAACATCTACCTTTTTCAGTTAAGACCAGCCAGTCGTCTAATCAGAGGGTTGGCAGACTATGGCCAATGGGTTGAATCTGGCTCACTACCAGATTTTGTATGATCTATGAGCTAAGTGGTTTTTAATGCTTTAATTTTTTTTAACGAAAGGAATATTTTGTGACATGCAAAAATTGTATGAAATTTAGATTTCACTGTCCAAAAGAAAAATTTTATTTGAAAACAGCCACATTTATTTATTTATACAGTGTCTGTGCTGCCATAGCAGAGTTGAGTGGTTGCAAAAGAGACTCTGTGGTGTGCAAAGTCTAGAATATAAAATTTGTAATACTGGCCCTTTACAGAAAAGTTTTGGTAGCCCCTTATCTAAGTTCTTGGATCAGCTGACTTGTGCTTGAGGTCTCCTTCTCTCTCCCCCAGCTATACACACACACACACACACCACTGTCCTCATACATTGTCAGCTTCCTAACTTTCTTAAAGTGATTATGCTGTACTGTAAATTTGTTCTCACAGCAATAAAACTTTGGTTTTTTGTTTATGATTCTACTCTGTAAAAGGCATGTAGAAATGATTTATTTCGACTTAACTCCTGAACAACAACAGCAATTTGAAGATAACATAGTTGAAGATTTTCTGGAAAACCTTTTTCACACCAAACTCCAATGTGCTTCTTATTGAGTAAATATGTAGATTAGATCCTAAAGTTATAATGTTGATTCCTTGCTTTTTAAAAGTCTTTTTAATTGGCATTTTGGGGTGAGCTGGCCAAAGAGGGTACAGTACTGTTTCATTAGTAGTCCTGCATTTATCACCTACATTCCATTTTGGTTAACTTTGGTTTTCTTTCCATTTATTTTCTCCTTTCTGATTTTTAATACTGCAGAATCATCAGAGTACCAATTAAACGTAATTAACTTTATAAAGAAAATCTTGATGCTAAAGCACTATTCCTGACAGATAAACAGCAGTCCACTGACAGAGGTGCACATATTTTCCTTTCTATCCGTAAGGTTACATTTAATAGTATTTCTTTGAGTATCAAAGGTTTTTATTGCAGGTAGTGTTATTTTCTGTACCTAAGAATACTTCTGAAAGTTGGTCACGAATGGCGTCTGCCAAGCTGAGTATGCATGGAGTTCCAAATATCCTATTTAATTAACACTGAGCGCTCATGGATGATTTAGGGTAGAATGTAAAGCAGAACGTCCTCAGGAACTTTGATATGAAACAGATTGTAGATGAGTCTATCTTTTTCTACCCCACAGGCTGTTGACTTATCTCTTGTCCATTGGCTTTATACTTGACTAAACTAGGCTTCTCGTCCTTAAGTTATTTTCATGCTCGTGATTTCAGGTTTTTATACTACGGTATAGTTTAGATTTATTCCCTACAGTAAGAAAACCTTACAGCAATGTGATTTAAAGTTCTTTTTTTTTTTAAGTGAGGGTAGGGAATGAGAGTGCAAGTGCCTTAGTCCACAGCTACTTTTAGGACCTGATAGAAATTGCATTGCCTTTCTTCATCTAATTAAAATGATCTAAATACTTTGAAAATGAGAAGTGTATATATAGGAAGAAGGGGATTTGACTCCTGATTTTTAACTCACTGATGTGAATCCTCCTGAAATTTCAGACACGTGCCTGTGCCCTGCAAGTTTTATCTGCCATCTTGGAAGGCTCAAAGCAGTTTCTTTCCATTGCTGAAGATACCAGTGACCACAAAAGGGCTTTCACTCCCTTTTCCGTAATGATCGCTTCCAGCATTAAAGAGTTGCACAGATGTCTTTTGTTAGCTTTGGTGGCGGAATCATCCTCACAGACCCTCACTCAGATAATTAAGGTAAATGTGCCAAGATATCAGTGAGTTGGCAGAAGCAGTTTCTCTATTTCAGTTTTGTGTAATGTTTATATTGCCCACAAATAAATTGACTTAAGAATATAAGTAATTTTATTACAGATAACCTGATTGGAAGTCTGTTCTTCCTACTTGTCTGATCACAGCTACGCTCTTTGTATGTCCAAATAAATGATTTAGTAAGACAATTCCTTTAAGTTGTACCAAGTGCCCTTTTCCCTTTAAAAAAGGAAAAGAAAAAAAGACTGATTTTCAAATGAATGTAAAGACTTGTTTTTTAATTAAATGCTTTAAATTTTGTCTCTGTGCTGTGGCTTAATCAGGCCCATTAATGAGCTACTCTTTGTGTTTTCTAGTGTCTTGCAAACTTGGTATCAAATTCACCTTATAACCGTCTGAAACTCAGCCTGCTGACCAAAGTCTGGAACCAGATAAAGCCTTATATCCGCCACAAAGGTTGGTGGTAGTTTGAAATTGATTGCTTCTTTATATCAATAAAATCTAGATTACTAGTTTAAAATATTCAGAATATTTTTATAACACTAAGATAATTCTATTTATTATCCTCAAACTTTGAGGGGAGCCAACTATCGCCAGAACCCTACTTTTGATCCCTAAAGCCCCCGTAGGCACCACTGGAAAGAAAGAACTTGGAGAATCAGCTGTAAAGTTCAATGCCTTTTCAATGCATCAGTGCAGTGACTGGAGTATCCCTTTAGAATTAAGACCGAGCAAATCCTAGGGATTCTGCTCTAGTGGGGCTTCCCTCGTGGCTCAGCTGGTAAAGAATCCACCTGTGTTGTGGAATACCTGGGTTTGATCCCTGGGTTGGGAAGATCCCCTGGAGAAGGGAAAGGCAACCCGTTCCAGCATCCTGGCCTGGAGAATTCCATGGACTGTATAGTCCATGGGGGTCACAAAGAGTCTGACACAACTGAGTGACTTTGACTTCACTTCTGCTCTGGTATATAATAATTCATAGTCTTTAGATGTAAGTAGAAAATGGATAGACAGATAGACATCTTCCTCTTTTGGGAAAGAAGTGGAATATATAACCTAGTTTTGCTATCAGGGTAATGTTGGCCTGATACAGTGAATGTGGAAGCATTCCTTCCTCTTCAGTTTTTTAGAATAGTTTGAGAAGGATTGGTATTAAGTCTTCTTTAAATGTTTGCTATAATTTACCTCACCCTTGAAGCCATCTGGCCCTGGGCTTTTGTTTTGGGGGGAATTTTTTGATCAATGATTTTATTTCATTACTAGTAATTGGTCATTGAATGTTTTTAGAAATGTATCCATTTCTTCTTGGTTGTCCGGTTTGTTGGCATGTAACTGTTTATAGCAATCTCTTATAATCCTTTGTGGTGTTGGTTGTATCTTCTCTTTCATTTCTGATTTTACTGATTTCAGTTCAGTTCAGTCACTCAGTCATGTCTGACTCTTCGAAGTTTGGGCCCTTTTATTTGGGCTCTTTTATTGATTTGGGCCCTCTCTGTTTTTCTTGATGAATCTGGCTAAAGGTTTTTCAATTTTATCTTTTTGAGAACCAGTTTTTGGTTCCATAGATCTTTTCTATCTTGTGTATGTATGTATGAGTATCATTTTATATATTTCTACTCTGATCTTTATTTTCCGTTTGAGTTTTGTTTTTCTTTTTTTAGTTCCTTTAGGTATGAGGTTAAATGGTTATTTGAGATTTTTCTTACTTTCTGAGGTAGGCCTGTATTGCTATGAACTTCTCTTTTAGAACAGCCTTTGCTTTATGCAGTAGATTTTGAAACACTGTGTTTCCATTTTCATTTGTCTCCAGGTATTCCTTTTTGATTTTCTTTCAATGACTGATTGGTTGTTTAGTGGCATGTTGTTTAGACTCCACTTATTTGTGTTTTTTTTCTGGTAGTTGATTTCTTGTCTCATAGGATTTTAGCCTGAAAAGCTGCCTGATGCGATTTCAGTCTTATTAAATTTATTGAGGCTTGTCTTATTTTGCCTAACCCTCTGTTTGTTTGTTTGTCTCAGGTAGGTCAGCCACATCTCCTGTTATTGATAGAGTGGCTGGGTGTGGGAGTAAACTCTGAGGCCCGTAGTATGGTTCCCCCGGGGCACCAGAGCCAGGTGCTCCAGGAGCGTCCCCTGTGTGAGTGGCAGCTGCGCTTCTGTTGTTCCCGGGCCGCACCTTCTGCAGGTGTGTTAGTGTATAGCGTTGGCTCCCAGCGCAGCTGGCTGTGACTGGGAACTGAGTTAGATTAGCCTGTGTTGGGTGGGATCCACAGATGCATGCTAGTAAACTAGATGGCGAGAGTCAGAACTGGTACCTGCCAATGCCTGGCTGACTAAGTAGAGAGAGAGAGATGAAGAAGAAGAAATTTTTTTTAAGTGGCACTTGCTAGCTTCTCAGTAACCCTCAGGCGCATGCTTTGTTATGAGTCAGTGAATCTCCCCAGATCAGCTTCTTTTCAGACTGCTGTCCGTGGGCCATGACCTGGAGCCAGTGAGTTTCTGTGCACAGCCTTTTGGAGTGGATTCACAGTTCTCTACAGCCCTCCAGCTCGCTCTCTCAGGTGTAAGCCCCCCTGGTTTTCAAAGCCAGGCTTCAGGGGGAGTCATCTTGGTGCAGGTCCCCTGGGCTGGGGAGCCCAATATTGGATTCAGAACTCTCACTCCTCAGGAGGACCTCTTAAGGCTGTGAGATCCCTCCTGCCTGTGGTTTGTAGCACTGAGGGGGTGTGGGTCCCCCCCAGACCATGTCTCTGCCCCTCCTACTTGTCTCAGTATGGCTATAAAAAAAAAAAGTTTAGTTGTGGAAAATTTTTCCTGCTGGTCATCAGGTCGTTCTCTGAGATGGTGGCTCTACATGATTGCAATTTTCCTCTCTATGAGAGGAGAGCCTAGCATCTTCCTACTGTGCCATCTTGTCCTGTTCCCTCACTTTCACCTTTTGAACTCGACAGCGGCCCACCACTCTTTTTCTTTCTTTCATGATTGCTTTTGGAAGGGTTTAAGCCAGTTGTCTTTTTTTTTTTTTTTTTTTTTGGCTGCACTGGGTCGTCTTTGTGACGTGCGGGGGCGTCTCCCTAGTTGCTCGAGTTGGGGATCTTAGTTCCCCAACCAGGGATCTAACCTGTATCTCCTACATTGGAAGGTGGATTCTTAACCACTGGAACACCAGGGAAGTCCTACCAGTTGTCTTTTTAGTATGTCTCACCCTCAATTTGTGGGATATTTTCCTTATGATGTTGTTTAACTTATACATGTGTTTCCTGTAAACTGGAAGTTCTGTCTAGAGGTTTAATTAGATTCAGGTTAAACAAGAAAGTCATAACTCTTAATTGCCTACAGGGATGATTATGATCTCTGTGGGCACCGTTCCATGGTGACAGGTTCTTACTATTCCTTTGACAGACGTTAATGTTCGTGTGTCGAGTCTCACACTGTTGGGGGCCATAGTGTCCACTCACGCACCTCTACCTGAAGTCCAGCTACTTCTGCAACAGCCCTGTTCTTCCGGACTCAGCAGCAGCAGCTCGGCCACCCCCCACCTGAGTCCTCCGGAATGGTGGAAGAAGGCCCCTTCAGGACCCTTTGTAGAGGAAGGGGCAGTTAGCTCACCAAAGTTATCTTCAGAGCCCTGCTGGCTCATTCGACTTTGCATTTCCATTGTTGTTCTGCCCAGGGAGGATTCCTGTTCAGGTAGCGATGCTGGTTCTGCAGGAGGAAGCATCTATGAGCCATTCCCCATGCGGTTGGAGGCCTTGCAGGTAGGAGGTTTCATTTCCTCTTCTCTGAAATGGAAGTAATTGTTCTTCCTTCACGGGGCTTACCTGGTGGCTCAGCAGTAAGGAATCTGCCTGCATTGCAGGAGTTGCAGGAGACACAGGTTTGATCCCTGGGTTGGGAAGATTCCCTGGAATGACAGCCCACTCTAGTATTCTCACCTGGAGAATCCCTTGGACAGAGGAGCCAGTCACAAAGAGTCAGCCACAACTGAAGTGACCTAGCACACACACACGCACATACACATTCTTTCTTCACAGGGTGATTACTTCATGAGGAGTAAGTCTGTGAAAATAATGTAAAACCAAGCCATGTGTCATTGGTATTAGTGGGAGTTGTCTGTGAACTCAAATTTTAAGTGTGAATGCTTTGTTGTTTTGTTTTGGGGGGTAGGTGGAGGGGCTTGGTTGTAAAATGTCAGATTCATCCATTTTTGTTGCAAGCCATTTTAGTCATCTCAGGTATTATATGGCCAATAGGTGTTATAGATTATGTAATAATTCTGAAAGAAATTATAGAGTTAATCTTTGATATCTGCAACTGAAAATTAAAATAAATGTTTACTTCTCTTTGGTCTTATATCTGCTTAGAGACAACAAAATATTTATTCCTTCAAAGGAAGAGAACCACCCTAGATTAAAGTATTTGTTTTTTCTGTATTCAGGCATGACCTAAGACACAGGTTTGGTCTTGGGGTCTGCTGCTAATTATCTGGTTGATATTACACATGTCCTTTAACCTCTTAGGGCTTCCCTGGTAGTTCAGTTGGTAAAGAATCTGCCTGTAGTACAGGAGACCCCAGTTTGATCTCTGGGTCAGGAAGATTCCATGAAGAAGGGAATGGCACCCACTCCAGTATTCTTGCCTGCAGAATTCCATGGACAGAGGAGTCTGGTGGGCTACAATCCTTGGGGTCACAAAGAGTTGGACACAACTGAGCGACTAATGCACAACACTTTAACCTCTTAAACTTTTTCAGTCATAGTTTCTTCAGCTAGAATATTTAGTTAATACCTCCTTTGAAAAATTGTTCCCAAGCTTAAGTGAGACAATAGTGATAATCTTAAACACGTTTTGTCGATTATAAAGCATCATAAAATTACATGATAATGCTTAGTTGATTTTAGTTATAAAATAAAGATTATGGTTTTTTGTTTTATTCAATATCAGGTTTAAGCCCCTTGTTGAGTGTGAGTGATTTCTGAAATACTGGAACACTTTTGGATCTTGTAGTCCTGTATTCCATTCTCAGGGTTAATCCCATTTTCTTTGCAGGTGTTGGCTCATCTGGCAAGGGGCTACTTTTCAATGACGCAGGTCTACTTGATGGAGCTTGGAGAGGTGATTTGCAAGTGCCTGGGGGAGGCAGATCCATCTGTCCAGCTTCATGGAGCAAAGGTAATTTTCATTAAAAGCCATGTGCTTTTTTCTTTTCCTCCTTTTAGGTTCTTTCCTCTGCCACATGTCCATGAGTTCCGAGTTTCTTAGGACATTTCAGGTAGGGAAGTGATGCATTCTTCTATTTTCAGCTCTACATATAAACCCAGAAAATTGATTTGGTAATAAATTAACAAAATATACCTGGTGATTTTGCTCCTATTGAGAATGCCTCTGAGATAGGAGTTGCTGAGGAAAGAAAGAAAAGCAATTGGAAATTATTTTTCCCCTTAATTTGAGGTAATCTATAAATTGAAGTTGCTTTTTACCTCCATGGTTCTAATATTCATCTCTGATAATCTGTTTCTTTTTATCTTGGCAGCTTCTGGAAGAACTGGGTACCAGCTTAATACACCAGAATAAACCAGATTCTTCCGTAGCACCTGATCAGAGAGTTCCAGTCCCCTTGGTAAGTAAATGTGTATTCATGTTTTTCTCTCTCCTTAGTGCTTCAGTCAGTTTTATTTTGAGGTTCAGTGATGGTTTCTTTCAGTATCAGAAAGTATCAGAGAGTTTGTTTTTTTTCAGTATTGGAAATTATGGTTTATAATTTAGGAGGAGTAGGTTTTATTTGCATTTCATTTTATTGCAGTTCAATATGTGGTAATGTGTAACATAGAGCCAGCAATGGAAGAACCAATTTTGTTGCACAAAACCTAATTCTGTTACTCAGTATGTCCAAGAGACAGACTAGAATGCTGGGAAGAGCCCAGGATTTGGAATACAAAGTCATGAGATTAAACCACTTAATGAACATCATGAACATAATTTCCTTGTTATAAAGAGCAATAAAAATCCTTGATTCACTAGACTTTTGGAAGATTGATTGAGGTGTGAAAACTGGCAAATAGATGTTCAATGAATCTTAATTTTCCTTAACCCCTTCACTGCCAGCCCCCTCTCCCCATTATTTCTGTTAGATTTTGTGATCTTAGATTATTTGTGTTGCCCCCACACTGTGCCAGTTATTTTCTGGAGGAGGAACACATGAGCCTACCAAAGAAACCTTCTACTTAGTGCCAAAAGCAAAGTCAGCTCAACATGAGTGAGGTTTTCTCCCTCTGCCCTCCTCAGCCTGCCTGTTCTTTTTCTCTTCACAGTTTCCGTCATCCTTGCAGGGAATTAAGAATGTCTAGCCCTAGTCCTTCCCTAGACAGTCACTAAAACTGAAGTGTCACCATTTGCAGGGAGTTGTGTTGACCTTCGCCATCAGACAGACCTGGGTTTAATCCAGACTTGTTCTCTTGCTCCATGTGACTTTGGGCAAGACTCTTAACTGCTCACACTTCGGTATTATTTCATATGTCAAAAAGGGATATACTTTCTGTATTACTGCTTTACTATTGACTGATAAATTACCCTAAACACTTAGCAGCTTAAAGCCATATCTTACATTTATTCTCTCACATAGTTTCTGTGGGCCAGGAATTGGGGGCAGCTTACCTGATGGTTCTGGCTGAGGTCTCATGAGACTACAGCCAGGATGCTGGCAGGGGCTGCAGTCAGCCGAATTTGACAAGGGTGGGAGGCACCTCTTTTGCGGTGTCTCACTCACCCACATACCTTGCAGTACGCCAGGCACTCACTCGCTCCGTCTCCTTGAGGACCTCCCCAGGGCGCTGCACGAGGCAGCTGGCCACCCTTGCTCAGTTGCTAAGTCGTGTCTCACTCTTTGTGACCCCAAGGACTGTAGCCCACCAGGCTCCTCTGTCCGTGGGGTTTCTCAGGCAAGAGTACTGGAGTGGGTTGCCATTTCCTCCTCCAGGGTATCTTCCTGACCCAGGGGTTGAACCCATGTTTCCTGCATCTCCCACAGCGGCTTCTTCACTGCCAAGCCACAGAGAATGCCCTGGCCACCATTATAGCAATTTAATTGAGAGCACAACATAGAGCTATAGGGTTTTTATGATCACTGATCAGCCCAAGTCAGTATGGGCGGGGACGGCCTCCTAAACATTAGGGATGAGAATCCTTAGGGCCAGCTTGCAGGCTGGCAACCACACCTGTCTGTTGTCTTCTGGTTTGGGGCGAGAGGGCCCAGACTGGGGGACCGGGTGGTAGGATTGTGAAGGTGAAAGAACTGGCACTGGTACATGGCAAAATTTAGGACTAAGTCCATGGGGAGGAAATGGAGACACCAGAACCCCAGACAGATTTGCATGTGGGGCATGATTCTTCAGGGTTTTTAAAAGCATAAAAAGGAAACTGTTAAAGGCACTTGCAGATGCCTCCCTTGAGGGGCATTGAAATAAGAAAATTCTTCAAAGTGCTCAAAACAGAGGCTACTGTTCAGTTGAAGAATCCCCACTATGTGCACCCAGCACTGTGCTAGAGACTTTACACACAGTCTTACATGTTATTATCACACAAACTCTGCCAAGTAGATGTCTTTGCCCTGCTCTACTGAAAAGGTACCAAAACTTAGGTTCAGCGCCCACCCGAGGCTGCAGAAACTGGAAGCAGCAGCTGGAGCCTCAGCCCCAGCTCTGCCTCTTTGGATCCAACACACAGCCTCTGGGCCACCCTGGAACTCCGACCCCTGTGCCCACCATGGGGCAGGTTGAAAGAGCGCCTGGCTGGGGGTCAGTTGATCTGATTCTAGTCCAGCCCTGCTGCCCACTAGCAGGTTACCTCTTTGTGCCTCAGTTTCCTTGCATGAAAATGGAGATAATGATATCTTCATTTAGTTGGACTGAAATTAAAAAGAGTTGATGGGGGGACTTCCCTGGTGGTCCAGTGGCTAAGACTCCATGCTCCCAGTGTGGGGGGTCTGGGTTTGATCCCTGGTCAGAGCACTTGATCCCACATGCCGCAACTAAGAGTTCACATGCCACGAGCAAGAGAAGATCCAGGTGCCTCAACTAAGAGTAGAGCCTAAATAAATAAAGAAATAATTTTTAAAAACGCAAGAGTTGAAACGCAAGAGTTGAAAGCACGTAGAACGACACCTGGCGTATGGGAAGCTCTGTAGAATATGAGCTGTTACTGTCCTCTTCTTCCTGTCCCCATTACTACTGTCACTGTTGCTGCTTCCCTGTACCACACTGTGGAAGCATTTAATTAGTTGCTTTCTAAAGTTCCTTTCATTGCTGCTTAGGAAGTACTAGTGAAAGCGTTTATAGTGAGTGACTGCTTTAAGGAAAACACGCCGTCACTCTGGCCCCTGGCGGTAGTGTGAGCAGCGTGCTGGCCCCGCTGTCATCTCTCGGGCTGCACTTATAACTGTGCCTTTTCCAGGTGGTGACGTTCTGGACCATGATGCTCAACGGTCCTTTACCCAGAGCCCTGCAGAACGCAGAGCATCCGACACTGCAGGCCAGCGCCTGTGACGCCCTGTCTTCCATCTTGCCGGAAGCCTTCAGCAGTCTGCCGGTAACCTTTGGGGTGTTTTCTCATCTTTAACTTGTGATGCTGAGCATGAGAGCTTGAGTTTGGTTTTAACTCTTTGGAGCCAGTATTCAGCATCATCTCTGAGGAGGAGGTGCGTGTTCTGCCTGAGTGTGGGGTGAGAGCAGTGGGGCGCAGCACTGAGATCTTAATGTCTCAGGGAGCTTTACCTTCTTGTGCTAAGAGGGCGGGGGAGAAGGGAAAGTAGCGGAGGCTTTGAAGCCACATGTTAGGATTTCAAATCTAAAAGTTGGAAATCCTAGCTCTTTGGATTTGAATCCTAGCTGGTTTAAATCCTAGTAGCTCTTCTGCCTTCTAGCTCTTTGGTTATCTTAACTTCTCTAAAACTTAGTTTTATAACCTGTAAGATGGAAATGATGTGCATGATAATGTGAAGCATGTGAAAATGCCTAGTTTGGTGCCTAACACACGTTGTGTCTAGACTGCTGCTTCCTTTAGTCCTTAATGGCATTTGTTTCCATTCTTATTTATATAAATTAGTTTTTATAAGGAAGGCAGCATGATTAAAGTAGGAGAACAAATGACCTGATTCCCACAGTGGTAGAGGTTACACGTAGTCACGAGGCTGTGTGAGCCCTGCCTTGAGTGGGTCCTCTGGTGTTAACTGGATCTGAGTTGAACCATTGTTCTCTGCCAAGTTAGCCTCAAAGACTCGGTTGTGTTCACCTCCCTGACTGGATTCAACACAGACGTGTCACAGTCATTTGTCGAAGGCAGTGCCTCACAACTATTTCACTCATGCTTCTGCTTGGCCTCCCTTTTTCATTGCAGAGTGACAGGCAGATCCTGTGCATCACGATGCTGCTGGGGCTGAACGACAGCAAGAACCGTTTAGTGAAAGCTGCCACCTCACGGGCCCTCGGGGTCTATGTGCTTTTTCCTTGTCTCAGACAGGTCAGTGAGCCCACATAGCTCCATCTTGCCACTTTATAGTCATTTTGTTACTCTTTGTGGTGATATAGAGCTCCTGAAGTGGACAGTAAAGGTGGTTAAATTGCTTTGTAATCTGGTTACCTTAATTGGTATAAAATATGCTAATGTCTGTAGTTCATTTAACTATTTTTCACACTTCCCAGGACCCTAGGCCAGTGAATGTTTAAATTAATGGACAGTGAGAAAAAGAAGTGAAATGGGACATTACCATACCATAATAATAACTTAGAAAGTTAATAGAAATTTTAGTATGAAGAAAGAAATTTCTCCTTCACTCTTATTTGTGACCTTTATCTCACTGAGAAGTGTGTAAGTAATGTAAGTAAGAACAGGATGTGCTCAGAAGTGTGTTTCATTGTCCACATCTCTTCCCAAGGTAGACATCAAGCCAAGTGCAGGATTCAGAGATAACTGTCACAGGCCCAGTTATAAGATGTTTGCCAGAGCAAAATCTGTAGTCTCCTTGAATGTTTATGGCACATATCAGAATGATGGGAGACCTTCCCCTGGAATTTTAATAAGTGTCTAAATTGTCATATAAGAAAACAGTAAATTGATTAAATGAATTTTAATTTACAAATACAAGTTTGTGGTAAAGGCTTATATAGCTTTTTCTGAAAACAAATTTGAGAACTTTGAAGGTAGCAGTGTGAACTCCTAAGGTAACTACAGCATTTTGGTTTGTTTACCTTACAGGATGTCATATTTGTTGCAGACACAGCCAATGCAATATTGATGTCACTTCAGGACAAGTCTCTTAATGTCCGGGCCAAAGCAGCCTGGTCCCTTGGCAACCTGACCGACACTCTGATTGTCAACATGTAGGTGACTCAGCTCATTGTCTCGGTTGACTTCCAAGGCCAAGGTCCCAAGAAGACATCTTTGATCCTACTAGAAAGGAATTAGCAGTAATTCCCTTACATTATGTAGTCAGTCTTGCTGCTTTGTTTTGTTTTATATTCCTTCAAGTACTATTAGTAACCTATTTTTAATATATATGTATAAAAAATACTATATGCTGATACAAGTAACATATCCACATTATAGAAAATGTGAAAACTCTAAAAGTAGAAAATCAAAACCTTAGTAATGGTTGCCCTGTTTTTAAATATTGTATTTGTATATTTTTTAAGTAATATATTCCCAACTTTATCCCTAATTTCCCTCTCCAGAGGCCACTGCTCTTACGTATACACAAGTATCTTGCTTTTTGTTCCTTCACTGTATACATGTAACATGTATAAGCATTCTGCTGACTTTTACAGACTTTTTATAAATTGTTATTTGTTATTATACAGTCATCACTATGTGCTGATTATTTCGCCATTCCCCTGTAACTGAACATTCGTGTTAGTGGAGGCTTTTATATGCATTGAACATTTTTGTGTGTGAAATCTCCATTGTGAGATACTTTTTTTGGTTACATCCCTAGATGTAGACCTACTAAAATCAAAAGGTGTAAAGCCTAAATAAGTTCTTAGTATAACTATCTGAGCAGATTTGTGGAGCTGTTTCTGTAATTACACTGAGTGAGTGCATTTGTAGTTGTGTATGTTTAGGTGGGTTTTACAGTTAACATGTTTTGCTTGCTTTGGGTGGGACAGGGAAACACCAGACCCAAGTTTCCAGGAAGAGTTCTCAGGCCTCCTGCTCTTGAAGATGCTGCGGTCAGCTATAGATGCTTCCAAGGATAAAGACAAGGTAGACTGAGCGCACAGCCTCGTGTTTCTCAGTTGGGCGCTTAGCGTGTCAGTTTCACCTCACCAAACGTACCCCTGCTCAGAGGAGATTGAGTGTACTCAGGGTGTATAGTGCACACTGTACTCCATACTCGTACAGTTTCTTTCCAATCTCGTGAAAAATACCAGTGCCATTTGTTAGACTATTCCATGCTTGTTTCTTCCCAAAATCTCTTGGTAGAATTGGCAAGTCAGAGAGATGAGCAGCATGGCTTTGAATATTCCCTGTTACACTATTCAGTTTTAAAGTGTAGACGTGCACTTTAGGGGCAGCAGACATCAGCCAAGTTCAAATCCTGGCTTGCCCTTAGTAGCTGAGTGACCTTTGGTGCATTATTTAACTTCTCTGAAGGTGATTTTCCTCATCTGTGACCTGAAAATCATTCCATATACCTCACTGGACTCCCAAGGTGCCTTTTATTACAGCACCTAGCATAGCGCCAGGCCCAAACCAAGTGCTTGACTTAGTCAGTGGTTCTAAAGACCTGGGAAGCCCTACCACAAGTTAATTCCATCAGAATTGGGTTTTGTTCCTTAGAAAAAGCTCCCAGATGTTTCTAGTATGCTGCAAAGTTTGAGACTTTAGGCAGAAAAGTATTGGACTGGAATTATGAAACCTAGCTTTTCCAAGCCTTGCTGCAAACCAGCCATATCGTTTTGCCCCTGGGCCTTACACAACATCTCTGTAAAACAAAGAAGATGGACCTCTCTGAAGTCCCATCTGACATTAAAAAATCAGGGCAAGGAACTGTAGAGCCTCACCTCTCTGATGGCTCAGAATGTCGGCCCCACGAGACCTGGCAGAGTTCTAAGAACTTGCACCTTTACAGGTTACATTTTTCATTATCTCGTTGCTTTAAGATGTTTTGGGCCTTCTGTTTGTTTGTTTTAAACTAAAATTATACTTTCTGACACATATCTTTGGCAAAACAGACTCCTAATGCTTTTACGTCTTACTCCAGGTAAAAAGCAATGCAGTCCGAGCCCTTGGAAATTTGCTTCATTTTCTGCAACCTTCTCATATAGAAAAACCCAGATTTGCTGAAATCATTGAGGAGGCTATCCAGGCCCTGATTTCTACTGTTCTGATTGAGGCTGCCATGAAAGTCCGATGGAATGCCTGTTATGCGATGGGAAATGTATTTAAAAATCCTGCTCTTCCCCTCGGTAAGAATGTCTCCTCCTTCTCTCTGATGGAGGGCTTCTTTGGACAATACATGCCAGTCTCCATTATTAATAAAACCACACTGTTATTCATGATATTTTACTGAACACCCAATTTAAGGGAAAGATGAGGTAAATCACAGTCTATATATTTAAAGGGGTATTGTGTAGCCACTTAAAATTACATTTACAGAAAGTTTTTGATAATCTGGGAAGGTAGTTCTGAAGTTAAGCAAATGAAAATGAGATATGGAAATTGTTTCTACAGTATGATCTCAGTAAATGGGTAGAAAAAAGACTGAAAGGAAATTAACCTGAGTATTGACAGTGATTGTCTCTCGATGGGATGATAAGTAGGATTCTTTTTGCTTTTATTTTTCAAAATTTTCTGCAGTGAGCATGCATTGTTTTAGCAATCAGGAAAAAAGTTAAAGGGGAAAACAGACATGGGAGAAAGAGGGTTTAACTGGAAATCCCACAGGAGATGTTGGCACTGGGGTGGAATGCTGCAGGCAAGGAGGGATCTGCCTCTGAGGATGACAGGCCCTGCACCTCGGTACATCATCAGCGGCTGACAGCTGCTCTGGGGTCTGGATCACAGCCTTCAGATCCCTCTCACTTGAATTGCCAGCATTTCTGAAACACAGGGGTGTCTTCCTGGAGAGGTGACTTTCTTCTGGACCAGCAGAGCCTGCATCACGTTAGGGAGGTCTGTCTCTGCTCCATGTACTGCCAGAAGCGTCCAGGCGGGCCAGTCAGCTGGGAGCCTCACAGCTCCACTCACCGAGGAAGCAGCCTGAAGTGGCCTTTGGCATTGGCGCTCACTCAAGTGTGTATCTGCCACCTGTCTTCAGAGGCAGCAGAGGAGGTGGGAAGGGCTGGGAGCGTTAAGGAAGCCGCATTTCACTATGCTGCCCATCTGGAGGAATAAGAACTCCCGAAACGGAGCGGGCAGTGGTAGCTCCAACGGGGAATAAAGCTGGCTGACTTTCTGGGGCCAACAGGAAGGGAGCAAAGACAGGAATCTGGGCATCATCTCCTCAGTATTAGGAAATTGAGCCTCCAGTTACTCTTGAGTGCTCTGTCCCCCAGTCACTGCCTAGACAGGATTTTCTTTTCCTTTGCAATAAAATGCAGGACCCGCTTTTTAAGGGAGAATTAAGTGAAAACATGGAAGGACTAACTTGAGCACTAGTGTATCTGCTTCCTTCAGCCCCCCTCTCTCTCCCCCCACTTATTTTTAAACTTTCATTTGCTCTAATGACTATGGATTCTTCCTAGAAACAGCCCCGTGGACCTCCCAGGCCTACGACGCCCTGACATCAGTTGTGACGTCATGCAAGAACTTCAAAGTGCGCATCAGATCAGCCGCTGCCCTGGCTGTCCCCCGCAAGAGGGAGCACTATGGGTCGGTTGAGCAGTACGCTCAGATCTGGAATGCCCTGGTCACTGCCTTGCAGAAAAGTGAAGACACCACAGACTTTTTAGAGTTCAAGTACTGTGCCAGCCTGCGGACCCAAATCTGCCAGGCACTGATTCACCTCTTGAGCTTGGCCAGCCCCTCAGACCTGTCCTGCATCAGGGAAACCCTCGAACTGCACGGGGACATGGTCCAGTCTTTCATCCTACAGTTTTTAAAGTCAGGAACAGAGAAAGATGACGCCGGAGCACCCCACCACCCGCAGGAGAGAGACCAGATGGTCAGAACGGCCCTGGGGCACATAAACAATGTCCAGGCACTGGCTGGTGACCCAGCCAAAAGGGCCATCGTGGGCTTTTTAGAAGATATCCTGACCATTTATTTTGACTCATCTGGATCTCAAGTAGCACTCTTAGGATTAACCCATCGGTGAATATTCTACCATACTTTCCAGGTGTCAGGTGGAAACAGGAAGATCTGAGCCTGAGCATCAGATGTGTGGGGTTTAGTCTTAGGGGCAGAAACAGTCCTTTCACTGTTTATTTAGAACGAGTTACCAGCTATTGAAATTTTTCTCAGAGGGTTCATCCACGTTGGAGAGTGTTTTCACTGCCTTGGCTGTGGCTGTGACTGCTGGAACCTCTGACTTGTGCATCTGGGAGCCAAGGAGTTGGGTTGTCCTGTGGACTGAGCAGGCTTGGGTTCCTAAGAGTGGACTCAGAAGAGTATTTTTAAAAAAAGGAAAAAGCAAAAGGATTTAGGAGTTAGAAGGTTGTATATTGTGTCTCTGGGGATTGTTTTTCTTTTGTAATAAACTAATGTAAAGCAGTGTGCCCATAGTCGACCGTTTTTATCAAGTTACACTTACAGAAAGCTGCAGGCAGAGCTGGTGTTTAGCCAGTTTGTGCTGGTTCAGCTGCATCGGTTGCTAAAATACTGAATCGGTTCATTTCAGGTTGATAAATAGCTGTTGCACTGAGCTCCCTGAGTGGCGCCCCTTGAAGCCCCGTCCATGCCTTCCCACAGCCCTGTAAAGATGAACTGCCTTTCAGGGCCCTCTGGCCGAGGCCCATGTCCATTTCAGCCTGGCCATAACATCAGCTTCTGTCTGAATTTCCTAACGCCCCTTAGGAGAATGTGGTCCCCTATGCTGAATTTTTGGTAATTTTGCAACCTTTGGATTTGTGCCTTAAAAAGGATTATTTACGTGATTACAAGGAGAGGTTTTTAGATTATATTTTGATAATGCCCAAGCAGTTATAAAAGTAGTTTCTCACTGAAACATTATTTATATTTAAATTTTGCATATGTCTCTTGACCACCAACTCTTTATTGTAAGTAATTTCAATCAGAAATTTAGAGATATATAATAAAAGATCCCACACTTCAAGTTGATGTGGATAAATAAGAATCAGGGTACATAGAGTGAGTTTTGGCAGAATATTACGGCTCAGACGGTAAAGAATCCACCTGCAATCCTGGAGACCAGGTTTGATCACTGAGTTGGGAAGATCCCCTGGAGGAGAGAATGGTTACCCACGGCAGTATTATTGCCTGGAGAACTCCGCAGACAGAAGAGCCTGGTGGGTCCCTGGGGTCGCAAAGAGTCAGACATGACTGAGTGACTAACAATAATTGGCAGTATATCATTTAACTGCAGTTATTTATCTTAAAAAATACATTTCAGAGCATCCAAGTGTCCCTCCTTTTTTCTCCTTTACTCTTTCCTTTCTATGTTGCTGTTTGTTCAGAAAATAGGTTTAGGCAGAGACCAGGGAGCAGAGTATTCAAATAGCTGAAGTCTCACTTTTTTTTGGTAGAATACCAATTTCCAAAGCTTGAGACGACCAGCACAGTGAAAACTACCATATAGAACATTCTCTAGACTTGCTTTTCTTTGGAGGATTCTGGGCAAGAATTGTTACAGAGCCCATGGAACTGAGTTGAACCTGTACTGACCCTGTCTTGAAACTTAGAACTTCCTTCTCTTGAAGGAATATATTCTTAGTAGCAGCTTGTTTACTTGCTATTTTCATAAAAGTAAAAATATGCCATATATAACTTACTCCTGGTTCTTTGAGCTTTCACTGGTTTCTTGATAAAACATCTGTGAAATGATTTTGAATGGTTTCCCTTGCTGATTCACTCTTACCATTTGCTTACTTTGAATAAAATTTTTTTCTTTCTAAACCTTTCACTGTCTTTAAGGTTTCCAGGTTTCTGAAAACAGATGTTAATGTTTGTATGCAGGGAGAAACCAGGGCTAATAGGCACTTCCAGAAATCCCCGAAGTGTGGACTGAGGGCTCCTGTCTGGATCGGATGCCACTTCTCTTCGCCCTGTGGCTTTGTGGATGTACGCCCAGGCCGAGGGCTCAGTAAAGCTGCCGTCATGGAAGGCAGCCACCCAGAGAATAAAGGGGCAGGATTTATTTGCTGCAGAAACAGTAGGAAGTCTGGCTCTGATTCAGAATGCCAAATTCTGAACTTTCTTTTGATACATGATACTGATATTTCTCTTGATACTTAAAAGAAAAAATTTAGAGGAGGAGTCAGCTTGGCACAGAAGTCTAGAGCAAACTCATTGAATCAAGAGCATTAGGAAACATCACTTACCTTCCAACCTTTCCTGTGAAACTCACTAATAATAAACCCATTTCTGGAACCCAAGGAAGATGCACACTGTAATCTCTTGCAGATTTAGTTAATTGTAGAGCGTAAGGTGATGAGAGGTTAGACAGAAACCTCGTCGAGAATACCAGGGCAACAACTTAGCTGATTTTTATATTTGTGTGTGAATCCAGACCAGGAGCAGAACCTCACCAACTAAGTGAGTTCTAGTGACTCCAGTTCATTCGGCCTTCATGTCCTTAACAGAGCGCAGTGGTTAAGAGCCTAGGCTTAAATCCTGGCTCTACCCTCCATCTGTGAATGTTACTTAACCTCTCATGCCTGGTTTTTTCATCTGTGACATGGGGATAATGGTGCCTGCCTCATAAGGATGTTATAACAGTGAAATTTGTTAATACATGGAAAGTTCTTAAAACAACTTCTGGTACTCAATAAAATCAGATATTTGTTTTCCTTGAATTTTCAGAGCACCGGGCAAAAACTGTCAACACACCGTGCGCTTTTATGATGCCAGTTGAACAGCTGGATCCCCTGCCTGCACTTCTAGGTAGTGAACCTGGATCCTGCAGGGTGGGATGGGCACTCCGCCCAGGACCTCTGTGGCCAGCCAGAAACAGCTCTCGATTGATCCGCACAGATCCCTAGTGGGCATGGGGAAGGACTGCAAGTGAGTTCTGCCTCATGACCCATCCCTGAGGGCCAGTCTTGAGAATTACAGATCCAGTTTACACAGACTTCAGGATTACACCCATTTTTTAAAGAACAACTCTTCTTAGTAATTATGTCCTTGGGCAGGTTTCTAGACCTCTAATCATTAAAAAGGGGATAACTACCTCATAGAGTTTCAGGAGTCGGTCACATAATACATGTAAAGCATTGTACTGGAGCTGGCACAGAGCAGGCGCTGCCCTGTTACCCTTTTCTTTAGTTTTCTCCCTGGGCTTGACTGTCTCCTCATTAGGGTGAGTTCTCTGGAGGGGGATCTTGGGGAAGGAGCTTCTAATCTACTAGTGCAGTCCCTGAGTCCTCGGGTCTAAACTAAAGCTCCACTCTAGTGGGTGAGGATGTTATATTCAGTCAGTTCAGTTCAGTCGCTCAGTCGTGTCCGACTCTTTGCAACCCCGTGGACTGCAGCACGCCAGGCCTCCCTGTCCATCACCAACTCCCGGAGTTTTCTCAAACTCATGTCCATTGAGTCGGTGATGCCATCATACCATCTCATCCTCTGTCGTCCCCTTCTCCTCTTGCCTTCAGTCTTTCCCAGCATCAGGGTCTTTTCGAATGAGTCCATTCTTTGCATCAGGTGGCCAAAGTATTATTATATTAGGATTGGGCCAAATTCTCAGCAAACCAGCATTCATTTGCCATTTCTGCCCAACACTCCAAAGGACCCTTGCACTGCCAGCAGTAACCAGGGGGAAGGTGGTGGTGGTATGGCCTCTCGGGACATAATTCAACAAAAAGCATATGTGTTGGGGAAAAGCCCTTCCCTTGAGAATTAATGGCTCTGCAATCTGTTCTGTGACCTACTAGGATTGACTGTAGGAACACAAGTTTTTTTTAAATTTAGAAGTTCTATTAAAATATTACCACATTAATAGATCAAGTAAGAAAATGCAAATGGTCATTTTATGGATACTGAAAGAGCATTTGACAAAACTCAGTGTCCTTTTCTGATCAAAATTCCTTTAAAGGAGAATTTAAAAAGATATTTCATTAACATCATAAAATATTTCTATCTTGAAGAATGACTTTGCTAAAATCACAACCAAGACAAGCAAGTCTATCATCACCACTGTTAGCTAACATTGTGTAAGATTTGATGGTCAATATGATTAAATAAACCAAAAACAGAATTTTTCAGTTTTTCAAAGATTCCAAATTAGCATTCTTTGTAAAACACCAGTCTGAGAGACTGAATTCACGAATCATTATTTGTAGAAAATCAAGAAAATCAACTCCAAAAATAACAAAAGGTTTGTAAGGTAGCTGGTTACAAATTAGGCCAAAATCAATAGCTCTTCTATATATCAACTATAACCAATAAGATTTTATGTTTAAAAGATCTCATCGCAGTAGTAACAAAATATCAGGAGTAATCTAACCAAATTGTAACACAAGGATTTTGTGAAAAAAAATTTTTTAATTGGAATTTTTTTAAATGTCATTGAAGAAGACATTTTTTTAAAAGTGAGAAAATATATCATGTTCCTAGATAGAAGGACCCAAAATTATAAAAAAAATATGTCTCTCTGAATCCAGAAATTTAGCTAAATTCCTATCAAGATAAAAAAGATACTTTTAATGGCAAAATGATTCTAAATTTGATCTGGGAAAACGGATGTAAAAATTCAAACCAAGGAATTCAACTTTTAGCCACCACATCGTGCCTGGGTGGAGCAGGATGGGAGGTAAGGGGGGAGGGTGTGCAGGGAGAGAATTGATCACTCAATCAGGATACCCTAGGGGTGCATCGCGTTTTTCAGCCTTTGTAAATCCACGGCCCTGTTTGTGATATAAAAATCCATCTGCCATTCTCACTTCAGTGCTAGTCCACCCTCCCACTGAACACGGCTAGAGTGCCGGGACTCAATGCGTGCAGCTGCTGTCTCGAAAAGGAGAGCGCAGCAGGAGAACCAGGGAAGGAAAGGGGAACTCAGCACCACCCAGCAGACAGTAAGTTTGCTGTTATTGCCCCCGGCCATCTCCTGGCCTGGACCCCAGACAGAGTCCTGGACCCGCACACCACGCAGACAGAGCTCCCAGAGACACGCTCTATTTCTGGCCCTCAGATGGGGCATGAGGGACTGTGTCGTCAGGGAGAGAGGGGGACACCCCTGTTTGTGGCTTCTCTCCCCTCCCACCCCTGCCCCTTGGCAATCCCGATGCAGCCGTGCTGTCGCAGCCAGACAGGTGCCTAAAGCTTCAGGGAAGGGAACCCTTCTCTGACCAGAGGAAGTGTGGTCCCAACAGCAAGAGAACGAAGCCCATTGCTTTCTCTTGCTCTCTGCATTTTTCTTGCTTGATCTCTTGATGTGGGAATATTTTGTTGATAAAACTATGACACCAGAGGGAAATTTGAAACTTTGGAAATGAAGGAAGAGTAATAGATGTGGGAAATATTTGGATAAATAGACTGTTTTTCTCATCTTAAGCTTTTCATAACATGTACAAACTTATAATATTGTCTGATGGGGTCTT